GGGGCACCGGCGGGGGAGCGGAGCGCGAGAAGCCGGTTGGCAGCGTGGGAGGATGCGGGCTGGCAGCGGCGGGCCGCGGGCAGTCCCGGGGCGGAGACAGCCCGGTACCGGCGGAGGAGCGGGGCCCAGTGGCTGCCGGTCGAGAGTGTTATGAGAACTGTGAGCTCCAGGGATCCGTCCGCTGCTGCGGGCGGATAAGGGCGGCACAGCCCGCTGGAAGAGCCGCGGAGCCGGGCCGGTGGCCGGGGGGGGTCTGGCGGGGCCGTCGCTCACCGGCAGCAGCGGGTCCCGGCTCCGCGTAGTGCTGAACGGACAGCGGCGCCGCGCTGCGCATGCGCGGCCTGCCGCCGGGGCTGGGGCGTGCGCTGGGAGCGGGAATGGGGGCAACCGGTGTGCGCCGGGAACCGGGGCCGTGGGGAACGGCGGCAGCCGATGTGCGCCGGGAACAGGGGCCGTGGGGAACGGGGCCAGCCGGTGTGCGCCGGGAACAGGGGCCGTGGGGAATGGGGCCAGCCGGTGTGCGCCCGGGAACTTGGGCAGCTGCGGGGCTGAGCAACCGGTGTGCGCGGGGGAATTGAGGCCGTGGGGAACTGAAGCGGCTGGTGTGCGGTGGAATCTCGCGTGCGCTGGGGAAACGGGACAGCCGAGGAACTGGGACAGGCGGTGTGCTCTGGGGAGCCGGAATAGCTGCGGGGCTGCAGCCACCGGAGTGCGCCGGGGAACTGGGACCATGGGGATCTGGTGTGCCCTGGCGATCTGGGATAACTGAAGGAACTGGGACAGGCGCTGTGCGCGGGGGAGCGGCTGCGCCCCGTGAGCTGGGCCACCAGAGCCGGTGTGCGGGCCGCGCCGCGGGGAGCAACTTGTGGGAGTCGCTGCGACACCAGTGGGACCTGTGACTACCGTGTCCCTCTGTGCCGCCCGGCACTCCCCGCCGCGGTCCGGTGCCTCAGTCCGCTCCCGGTAGCGCGCTCCGCGGCCAGGGGCGGGGCCGAAGGTGGGGTGGTGGGGCTCGCGCACTTCCGCCCGCCGCCGTGACGTCACGGGCGGCCGCCGGTGTCCAGGGCGGGTGCGGCGCCGGATGGAGCGGCCGGGAGAGCCCCGCCGGGGCCGCAGGTACCGGGGAGCCGGGGAAAAGCAGGGCAGGGCATTACAAGGCAAAGCAAAGCAAAGCAAGGCTGGGCTGGGCGCGCTGCGGCGGGCAGCGGGACGGTGTCCTGGTCCCGGTGGCCGCCCCGCTGCGGCGGTGGGGCTGCCCGGGGGCGGCTCTGGGACCGAGCGAGGCCCCTTGGGACGGCGGGACGGGAATGGCCTCGGGTGAGGACCCCCTCAAGCGCGGACTGTGCTGGGGCCGAGTGTAACCGCGGCCTCCAGCCGCAGCTCGATGGGCTTTGGGCTGCCGGGACCCCTCTGCTCCTTCCCTTCGCGGCCCGAGGCCTCATCTTCGCTGAACGGCCGCTCCTCGGAGGGAGATTCCCTGCGGGGAGCCCGGAGCCTTGTTTCTCCCGCGGGAAGGAGCAAGCGCCTGGTCTCTCCCCCTGGCAGGGTGCCCGAGCGGCCCGGCACTGGATGCGGGGATTGCTGACAGGTAGAGCGATGCTCGGACACGAATGCTGGGCACAGCTCCTGTGCGACTGCCGCGGTAACGCTGCAGCAGCTTCTTGCTGCCTCGCTGAGGGACAGGGCCTCCTTCAGCAGCTGGTGGAAGGCCCCACCCAAGCTCTCCTGGAGGGCGCAGTGGGCCGGTAGACTCGGATGCCTGAGCAGTGAACGTCCCGGGCTGGGGAGGTGGTAATGCAGGCGGCAGGCACGTGCCCTGCTGATGGCTAGCCAAGGGGCTGTTCCCTGTGGGCTGATTGAGGGAATCGTCGCCGAGTCTGAGTCTTTCTTTTTGGCTGTTCTAGAGGCACCCGGCAGTAGGTGTGAGCTGATCTTGCCTGGCTCCTGCAGTAGCCTGGCTCTCTGGTGTCTGATGATGAGTGTGACCCCGACCAGGGGATGCCTCCTGGACCTGCCCTGGGAAGACATCTTGGTTCCACATATCCTCTGTCATCTGCCGCTGCAGCAACTCCTGAGCTTGCAGAGGGTCAGCAAGTCATTCCAGTCTCTCATCCAGCTGTACCTGGCCAACATGCGCTGCTTTGACTCAAGCCAGGTATTGGATGGCTCTGAGGCTGGGGGAGGACACAGATGTCCTACTGCTCTGGAACTAACGGGAGCATCTCTGTGGGGAGAAGAAAGGGTAGGCAGGAGGGTAGTTTCTGGTCAGAAGCTTGGGTTAATAGTTCAGGTGTCAAACTGGACAGATGGGCTTAGGAAGGAGAGGCAGTGATTCAGGGCCCAGCAATGCCAGTGTCTTGAGTAAGAGGCCCTGGGAGGAGTAAGCTTGGAAACTCCACCCAGGCCATTATGGGGCACTGGCTGGCAGTTTGGTGTTTTGGAGTGGCATGTTGTCACAAAAGTTGTGCAGTAGGTTGGGTCTGACGGGAGATAACTCTGCTTGGTCTTTAGGGAAAGTTTGTGCTATTGGAAAGTTTGTGCTATTCCTGGGAGCCACTGCCTGGGACAGACTGGAGTAGCTGGTATTCTGTGAGGACACAGAGTGGTCTAGCAAAGGGATATTTGGAGAGTGGAGGTGTGGAGCTCATCGTGAGGATATAAATGCAGGAGTGATAATGTGGGATGGAGAAGCCAGAGTATCGTCTAGCTTGTGGCAGTAGCATTGGCATGAGGTGAGCAGTCTGATGGTAGAGTTTGCCTTGGGATGAGAACAGGGGATGGCTTTGGTCACTATTGTCACAGAAGAAGAGAGGAGGGGAGAGAGTATTTGGTGGGGACCAGGCTTATCTGAAACCCTGGGAGGATGCCTCATTCTTCCTGGGTTCCCCACGCAGATCGGACCTGCCATACCTCGGGCCGCTTTTGTTAACCTGTTGAAGGACAACGAAGTTCTGCAGCAGCTGGCACTCCAGAACTGCTCCGAGTGGCTGACGGACCGGGAGCTGCTCCCGGTCATTGGGCAGAACCACCACCTGCACCAGATCCAGCTGAAGGGCTGCGCCCAGCTCAGCCGCCACGCGCTGGTGGCCATCTCGCTGAGCTGCCCCCAGCTGCGCCAGCTCTCCCTGGCTCACTGTGAGTGGGTGGACAGCCTGTCCCTGCGCAGCCTGGCTGACCACTGCAAGGCCCTGGAGGCCGTGGACCTGACGGCCTGTCGCCAGCTGAAGGACGAGGCCATCTGCTACCTGGTGCAGAAGTGTGGCAGGCTCAAGTCTCTGTCACTGGCTGTCAATGCCAACGTGGGCGACGTGGCAGTTGAGGAGACTGCCAAGTGCTGCCCAGAGCTGGAGCACTTGGATCTCACGGGGTGTCTACGAGTCAAGAATGACTCCATCAGGTACTGAGCAACATGGGGGGCCAGGGTGGGGATGGCAGGTGTCTGGCATGGGGAGAGGGACAGAACCAGAGAGGAAAGTCATGTTTCTTCATGCTGAAAGCAGTGAGAGCTTAGCCTGGGAGAGAAGCCACTAGCAGGCCCTTCAGGGGAAGCACTATGTGCTATTGACAGCAAATTTCCCAGCATATCATGGAGGATAGGTCTGGGATCCGGATGTCCCTTGACTTTATCTCATACCACCGTGGTGCTGTCCCCAGAGGATGGTGCATGTGTGGCACAGTCACGAGCGCTAGGCTGCTGGGAGTAAAGAGGAGTGTGAGTGGTGAACTTAGGAGTCCTGACTTGCAACTTGCCTGTGCTGTCTTTCTTGGCAGGGTCCTGGCTGAGTACTGTCCCAAGCTGCGCTCGCTGAAGGTCAAGCATTGCCACAACGTGGCTGAGTCCAGCCTGAGCATCCTCCGGAGCCGTGGGGTGGAGCTGGATGTGGAGCCTCCGCTGCAGAGGGCTCTCGTTCTGCTGCAGGATGTGGTTGGCTTCGCCCCTTTCATCAACCTTCAGATCTAGAACTGCTGCTGCTGGGGAGGGGGGGACTGGCACAATGCTGGGATCCCAGAAGGATGCCGGAACTGGCTGCTGTAGGGATGTGCAGAGGGAGAGGTCAGTCCCATTGGTGAGGCTGGCCTGAGTGGGGCTCACTCTTTCCTCTGGGGCTGTGTAGCAGCCACTGAGTGCTCATAAGTGGACTTCATTGGTGCCTCTGGGGAAAGTAACTCCCTCTGCAGTGGTGTGGAAAGAGCGAGTGATTTGCAGGAACACCATGGTGCTGAACAGGTGCTTGGTCAGGCCAGCTGATAGATAGGACTTATTATTTGTTGTATTTTAAATCTTTAAGCGGCAGCTGTCCAGAAAGCAGGGGAGTGTTTGATGGGGACTGTCCCCTGGGGTGGGTGTGCAGGGCATGCCAGTGGAGCTGTGGAACAAAGCAGACCAGCTGGAGCAGAAAGAATAGCTACCAACCCTCCTCTTGAAAGAGGGCAGGCCCCTCTGGGCTCTGGGAGGAGGGCAGTGAGCCTAAGCTCCAGCCCACAGCCACTGGCTAGCCTGGCACCAAAGGACTAGCATGGCCCCAGTACAGGCAGTGTGTCTGCCCAGGCCTAGTGTGCTGGTTTAGGCTGGAACAAGGTGGGAATTGTGCTCCAAATGTCAGTTTGACTGACAGAAAAATGCCAAACCTAGCTGTGCTGTCACTGAAAGCAGTTGGTCATTGTCATTTGTTTCTTCCAGCATCTGACTATTTTAGTAGTGCCCAGGCCTGCTACTGTATTTTGCTCCCTGTTGTGTGGCTGGTGCTTTGGCTCTCAACAGTGGTGAGAAATGGCAGGAGCACTGACTCTGCTATCAGCTGGAGTTTATGGAGAGAGCTGCAGATTGTGTTGGCAGGGGGAGCCTAGTGCTGGAGGTGAGCCTAAGCCCTTTTATCTGCTAGGCAATTAATCAAACAGCAGCTGCATCTTGAGAACGTGAAGAGAGTAATTAGAGGAAGAGAGGATGACCCTGCTCCTGTCTTTGGAGGCAGCGTTTTAAAGCATGTGCACGCTCTGGCTGAACTACACACCGACTCACATCATCTTTATTAATACTGGCACTCAAAGCAACAGTGCACAAAGACTTGTTAAAAAGGTTGCTGCAAAAGCACATGCCACATCTCAGATCTAAAAATGTCCCATGCAAGGAATAGCAGAGAATGCCCAGGTCCTGGAGAGCAATTGCAGTGTGCCCCTGGGGGCAGAGGGATAGCTACACAAGGAGAGAAGTCTGCTCAGCCAGGTTAGTTGAGGAGCTGAAAGCAGTGTCCTGGCTTCCAGGTTAGTTCAAGTTAGTGGCAGGTGGAGTTGACCTCATTCCTAGCACCACACATCCATCCTGCCATGCCTGGCAGTGAGGCGGAAGGTTGAAGAGCTGGAGGACCTGGCTGTCAGTGGAACTTATACTTCCTGGCTGGTTTTAGGCTGATGTAGGTTCTCTTCATCTCCTCACTCTCAGGCTTCTTGATGTCTTTGTACCTCTCTCCTTTTGTGCTCACCACCTGGTTATCAATATAGCGGATCAACTTCTTGGGAGCCTGGAGAGGAAAGATATCAGCACCAAGTGGATGGACAGCCACACTGCTAGAGAAATGGAGGGCGCAGGCAAAAGCAGAGCTGCACTATGGGAGGTGGGTGGGCTGCTTTACCATGGTCTGTGTTGGGAATCTTGGCCAAAACTGGGAAGGGTGCTATCTGAAGGGAGGGAGCAAGAGCCATGGTAGTCAGCAAAGGTAAGAACTGACATTTCCTGCAGCACCTTAGCTGAGCTAATCTTCCCTCTTTGACTGACAGGTTCTATGAAGAGACCTGCCTTTGGCTTGCCCTGTTGTGTTTTTTGGACTTGCAGCCTGGTTTTATTTTAACCTTTGGGACATTTAAACTGCTGGTGAGCTGGGCCTGCTTACCTCTTTGGGTGGAGCTGGCCGATGTGTTTTCTGGTCGTCTGCACTATCCACCATCATGTATCTGAAACACAAGAAGCATTCAGTGAACACTCTAACATACATTGCTGGGGGCTACTCCCAGCCTATGTCCCTTCTCCCCTGGCTGGTTTGTGTCCTACTTGCCTAGATTGCAGCTAGGAAAACTTGATGTTCCCCTCTGGATGAAATGGGCAAGAAGTATGTCACCCTTCTGGTGAGAATCTAGTGGGATTCTCCTGGAGTGGCATCCTTAGCTGTATGTGAAGGGTATTGAAAACTCAGGTGGTTGAGAATGCTGACAGCCACTGCAGAACTGAGAGAGGTACTGAGGTCTGCTGTGATCTGCCATCGGGGCAGCTTTGTTCCTTCTCAGTGCTAGCGATGGCAGCCAAATGAGAAATAGGTGAGATTACAGGACCAATCTGTCTGCTTTTGCCCTGAATGATGGTGTTCCTTTCACACTCCTCCTACTACTTGACTGTGAAACAGGTCTGTGCTGGAAGCAACTTGATAAAAGCATCACCTCATTTCCTATGTAACTGAAACATCAGGGTCCAAGCATTTGCTTGCTGTACTGCTGAGTTGTTACTCTGAGATTTTGGTGCTGGTTCAGCACAGGTGACCATGACTTCTCCCTCAGTAGTTAGTATAGTTACTCTTGTGTATCTTCAGCTATGGCGATCTGCTTTCTGTACCTGTGCTTGAGTGATGTTTAAAGTACAGGATGTTGCCAAAATGTCATTAAAGTGAAGTTCTCAGAAACATAACAAGAAGCTGGTGATTTTTTGTTCCCTTGCCTGTCCCTCTGAAATGAGCCTGCACAGGAGATGGGCAAGGACAAGGATTACTACTTCTGCCTGGATGCTGTTCTGCCTTGCTCTATCTTTCCTAGCCTACTGACTGTTTATTTTGTCCCTGGGAGAATGTAAAGTGGAAAAGATGTGGCTGGATAGACGTGTGGAAGCTGTATGCCTGCATGAGGATACTCATGAAAGATGTGATCTTAAAGCAGATAGATGAAACCACAGTGTGGGTTCTCCCATTGAGAATTCTGTTTGAATGCTTTTAGAAATGAATATAGGTAAACTAATCTTAAGCTACTTTCATTCCCAAGAAGTCCATAGGACTTCAGAGAGGTTTCTTTAAATGCATTGAATTCACACCTTCAGCAATTGAGATTTAATCTTCCCAATGCTGTTGTACAGGCAGTCTCTTGAAGGTATCTTTAACCTTGTTTGGACTGTCTCCAAGAATGGAGGTATGAATGAGTTACTGTAGTTCTACAGGTCACCGTGTGTTTGTTACCTGAGCTGCAGCATGATGTTTGTGCCTTGAACCTTTAACCAGGACCTCAGCTAACAGCACTGTGACTTACACTGCATCTGTAGGAGGCTGAAACCTTGCACGCAGCCAGTGCTGTGACCTAGCTGGTACAGGTCGTGTGTTTCTGTGCCAGAGCTCTAAAAGAAACCAAACCTGTTCCGTTGTTTAGGTTTTGTGGGTTGTTTGGGTTTTTTGTGTGTATATGTTTGGTTAGTTGGTTTTTTCATTTTTATTTTCCTTCTTCCCAGCTGATGATTGTATTTGTGCTTAGATGTGTTCAGCCAATACCCACCCCTAGTTCTTTACAGACCACACTGTTCCCCAAATTGCTACCTCTTCATTGATTTGGAGCAAAACAAGGGGTTCTTTGCTGCTGGGTACTTACTTCTGTAGGATGACCTGTTTTAGCTCCTCGTGGTTGGGTGCTCTGCGGGGCCGTGCCAGCTCCTGGGAGGAGACAAGTTGGTGTGTGAATAGCACAACAACAGGGCATACAGCTTACCTGCTAGCTCAGTGAACCCAGCTGCTGGTGGAGCACTCCAGGGGGAAAGGGGTGCCAGCCACAGCTCCACGGGGGTCCTGCCTTGGTGGGCACAGCCTGTATTAATAGAGCCAGGGGAGGGAGAGGAGCTGTCGCTCTGCATGATCTTCCTGGCTTATTGTGCATAAAGTTTCTGCAGTCAAAATTTCTGCTTGTAGCAGAGATCTGTGGCACCTGTATGTCCCTGAGTTCTGCCCTGCTCCTTGGCCCACTGCCACCTTGGTCAGAGTACAGTACCTTCACACTCGCACCTGCTGGGCCAATTTCCACCTTCTCCTCCACAATTAACTGCACTGCCTCTTCCAAGTTCCCCAAGGTCATGGCAAGAGCCTTCTCTGCCTGGCTCACAGTACAGGCTGGGAACATCTCCAGGAGCAGCTCCACCCCATCCTTCAAGTCAGCACCTTCCTAGTTGGAGAAAGAGACAGAGGTAAGTTGGGGATGCAGCAGTGAGGAGAGGGCTATTGAAAAGGGCCTCTGTTTTTTCATAGTCAAGAAATTCAGCTTGCCTTTTGCTGAAAGCTCTCCTTACCATCATTACTAAATCTGATTCTTGAAGCTAACAGGGGACTGTATCTTTGGAAGCACCAACTCCTCTCACTCTCCTTTGATCTCCTCCCTCTGTATTTCACCTTGCTTTAAAGCAGGGCTCCCATAACCTGACTCATCTGTGTGGCCATGCTTAAGAGCGAGTGAGCTTCCTGGACCCTGTGGTGCGAATGCCTGACTCCTGCCCACCTTGTAAGTTATTTGTACTTTGATTAGAAAGGAAAGGGGCTGCTAAACACTGACCTGATGCTACATCAGAAGGCATCACCATAGCAGCATTTGCTAGAACGCTGTGGACACAGAATGCTTGTACTGCAGAGCAGGAATAGATCAGTACTGGAGCAACAGCAAGCAGGGTGTGGGGGAGGAAGCTGGGGTTGATGTAGAAGGTACTGCAGTACCTGTAGCTGCTGTGGGATTTCTGAAGGCACTGGGACAGGCTCTCTCAGCCATTGCTCTTGCTTACCCTTTCCAGCCACTGAAAAGGATGAGCCAGAGCATTGGCTCACAGTCTGTCAGCATATAATTTTCTGACAGTCTTGCTCAGGCCATACAGTGGAGAAGATCATGGACACAAGTGATGCTGTGTCACAGCCTATGCTGTCCAGAGCTGGAAAATGCCCTCAGGTGGTGCTGGTAGCCTAGTGCTGTGTGCCTGTCCCAGTGCTCCTGCTCCTCTGCGGGGTACTCATACCTGGGCCCCGGCTCCGTCTGTTACAGTGCACAGTCTTTCCCCGTTGCAGGCTCCAGCTCCAGCCTCCTGGCCCTTGGTGAGATCTTCAGAGGATGCTTCACTCCTGCTTTCCACAGCCTTTTGGCCAAGTTTTTCTTAAAGACACAGTGATATCTCCTGAGGAACAGTCCCACTAAGGCTAGAGCTCTGTGCTTTCTGTTGGCATTAGATTGCTAGTGCATTGTGTGCCAAAGCAAATCTCTTCTTAAGTGACAATACTTGGAAGGACTACTGTTTCTCCTGCCCTCAGCAGGGACAGCTGCAGCTCTGCTCCCACTGATCTGCAGGAAGCCAGTGCTAGCACATGCTGGAGTGCCTGAGTTCTGCATTTCCAGGCTGTAAAGGGCATGGGCTGCTTGCAAATTCAATTATACTTTTCAATTCTCAGTCCACTAGTGCTTCGGTTGTGGATACTTCTATTTCTAAGAATTCCCTGGTATTTGCTCTTTGAACTAAGGTGTAGTTTTGATTTTTAAACTTGGGAATACACTGTGGTAATCCTCAGGCTGCATGCAAGCCAGCACATCCTGTGATCAGGTTACTCTGATGCGTCTCTTTTTTTACAGGCTCTTTTTCCCATGGTAGGAAGAACCATTTCACTTTTGTTCTGTCCTAAGACTGGAATGGTGCTTTCCTTCCACACTCTGGCTACATCAGGATCCTCAAAGGGTAGGATGCAGGGGAGCAGAGCAGAAGATTTTGTCAAGTTCAAGAAAGCAGCAAGAAAGATAAAAGACAGGACTGTCTATTCTACATTGTATAGCCTTCTGGCAAGGCAGCAGTGATGTTGCTAGACCAGCAAAACTCGGACTGGTTATGTCCTGAAAGATTTGATATCCAGGCACTGCAACCTGTCTGTTCTTTAGTGGAAAGTACCCATGGAGTTAATTGATACAGCAATCCAGCTGGCCTGTGAATGCTGAGGTTAGAAAGGGCCATTGTCACAGCGTAGTCTTCAGCAGTCCTGCACAGTGCAGGTCAGAACACATCACTGATTTTGCATCTGTGCCAGGGTTCATGGATGAACAGGAAGTGAGCTTTGAGGATGCTCAAAGTTAGATGTGATACATGCACTCAGCTGGATACCCTATTTGATGATGTACCTGATAAAGGCTGCCCAGTGGTAGTGCCACTTAGGCAGATGGGTATCAGAGGCAGGCAGAAATCCTCTTTCAGAATTAACTTACAGCAGAATTTCAACAAGCAGCCCTGAATTAGTTATTTCTTTCTTATTACTCTGGCTTTGATCTCAATAGAGGCATTTGGAGAATTAATCAAGTGTTTTTCACTTCAGTATGTCTTGGACAGTATTCCATATGACTCTAACCTCCCATCTCCCATTTGTTGATGTGAAAAACCTGACTGTTGGAAAAAAAACCCCAAACCTGTCAATCAATTTGGGCTACCTTATGAGTTCCTAACTGTGGCAAACAAGTTTGTACTTTTTCTGTGACATTGTTCAACTCCAAATATTAATATCTTGTGCTAACATTGTTTGTGTAACTCACCTTTGCTGCGAGCTTCACAAAGCCTTTCTGACAGGGAGAACATCATTTCACAAACATCCCCACTGCAAGAGACAGAAGCTGTATAATAAGCATGAGGAATAAAAGCACTAGCCTCTCCTATTTGGCTACCATTTTATAGAAAGACAAGGCTTGATGGGGAGCCCAGTAAAATCAACTGGTATTTCAGATTACCAAGGACCTAGTTGCAAACTATATTAGGATTAGCATCTGTGTATTCAGGCAAAGAGTGACTTATCATGATGGCTCAGGTTTAGTACTAATACATTTTAATCTGGGTATAACAAAAGAATTTGTAGTATTGGGGGTCTTGGGGCCAGGCCCTTGATGCATGGCATACACATACAAACCAGTAACAATCACATACCTGTGGATTTCTGCAAAACCAGGGATATATGCCTCCATCATTTCCACAAAGGTGTCCATGTCAAAAGTCTCTTCAGAGGACTCTGGTGAGCCCAGCTCTTCCAGGACACCCGTGATGTAAGAGAAGAAAACATCATCCATCCCACTGGAGACAAAGACAACACAGATAGCAAGGTCAACAGGCCCATTTTTTCCTTTCTCTCCATCCCCATTCTGCCTAACCTTGTGTCTTTCTAATACAGCAGCAGGAGCTATGTGACTGTACATTATGAGGAGATACCACCCCTAAGGCCAAGTAGCAGGTGGTCAGTGGCTGACAGGGAAGCATTAACAGATAAATAGTGCATGTGGTCCTGTTTCCTGGGCAGCACTGAATGAAAGTCCCAGTGTGTGTTCCAGAGGCTGTGCTCCTGTGGGTGCTTCAGCAGAGCTAACCAAAATATTCCAGGTGTTCAAGGCCTTGGCTGTTCTATATTGACTGGTATTTCAGGTGAGTTACCCTTTCTGTGGGATACAGTGTTCTCTGCTTGCTGTACTCCACGCTGGTGTCACTGCTGCCACCAGCTGCAAAACTCACTGCTGTGTTCCAGCCTCAAGGTGGCTGTATCTCTGCATGCAGGCAGAGCTCAAAACAGGGAGAGGCCTGACAGAGATGATCCTGCTCAGAAAGCCATTTGGGAGCGCTGTGGAATGAAGGAAATCCCATATCCTAATGGGTATTACTGGACAGGAAATTAATCATCTTGGTCATCAAAGAAATGCCATTGCTAGATTGCAATGCTAAACTGTAGTTATTCCAGCATTCCCATCAGAGCCTGTACAAATTACCTACATCCTGGATCTGACTTGAGAGAGAGCAACACAAAGTACAGGAAAACTACAGAATTCAGTATAATGCACAGAGTGACAATGCAAGAGCACGATACTGGAACTGCCTATCTCAACATACCTGAGATCTGCTGCAGGGACATGGGACTGGATGAAGCGTGTCAGTGTGTCTTGAATGATTCTTTCAATCTCCATATCTCTCTAAGCCTTTTCCTTTAAAAAAAAAAAAAGAAGGAAAAACTCCATGTAATTTTAATAAAATAAAAATATCAAGATCAAAATGCAGGTATGGTATAGGCAAGTGTGCTCTTCCCATGAGAACAATTCACAAACTTCTCCAATGTCTTGTCATCTCTGGGTAACAGCAGGCAAAGATATCCATAAAAAACTGCACTATGAGGATCTACCGAAAAAAGGAGCCCAGTATCTTGGGCCTCTCCTGACTGTATTGATGCTGTTAGTATGCAGCTGTACCTACATTTAACAAGTCCCCTCTGGGAAGCAAAGCTGGAAATGCAGATGTGTCCAGCTGCAGGAATCAGGGACCCCTTCTGAGCTGGAAGACTGTGCTGTCCAGTGAGGAAGAAACAAGGAGTGGGCTTGTACACTCCCTGCAGAAAGGGGTGGACCTTCCAGCCAAGAGCATATGCAGTGATGCTTGGACTTGACTCAGGAATGAGTGGGAGGAAGGGTAATGTCTCCTAAAGAAAGGACATCCTAGAGTATATTTTACAGGGAAATACCAAGCAGGGCACAGACAAGTAGTCTGCCAGCCAAAATATCAAAGGTCTCCAGGTCAGGCATGGACTGCCAATGGAATCCTGCCCAAACAGGAGCCCGTTGTTGTGCTCGGTAAATGAGCCATTCTAGAGCTGATGCAGCTGCAACAAGGGGCACTTGATAACCCAAAACTCAGGGGAGTTCTAAGAATCACAGAGCTCCTACAGAAGCAGTGGCAGAAGGGGGCTGCCCACAGCCCTGCTTTGGCTATCAGTACTGAGCCTGGACTGAACAGGGTGGGAAAAAAGCTGTTTCTTAGCCATTCCTTCCCCTTGGGGTCTACAGAGCTGCTGGGTGGACAAATTCTTGGTGAGCCTTCTTGGAATTTCCTTCCAAGTTCTTCCCAGGAAGGAAACCAGCCTTGCATTTAGAGAAACTGGTATGGTCATTGGCCAGAGAGGTTCCAAGGGTCATCATGCTCCCATCAGTGCAGCTCTCTCATTTCAAGGACACTAGGACCTGGCCAGGGCCAGGCCTGTTTGACACAGAACTCATGGAACAGTCATATAGCTTACTAACAGACAATTCTGGTGTCCCATGGGAATCAGAAAGGTTTGGCATTTCCGAACTAGAGGAGTCTTCCAGAGTTAGAAGCATATAAACAAAACCACCCCATGACACTCAGCCAAATTTAGAATTACGTAACTCGGGACATCAAAACTCCTTCTGCATTAAACTTTCAAATGCTACACTTCTAGTGATGATCTGCAATAGTTAAGGGGGAGATTCACTAGGAGAGCTTATCCTACGTGCTCAGTTTTGTGTGAGTGATTTACAACGCACAAAATTATGTGCAACCCAAAGGCAAGAGAAATCACTCTCCTGAAAGCTCAGTTTTCCTGAAAAGATGTTACCAGACTTCTAAACTTCCAGTCATAATTGCAATGTGGGTTTTAAGATCACTTCACTAGTTGTCACTGATTCAAATAAATATGTGAAAGTCCTTCTGCATTTCTTGCTGCAATATGGGTTCTGTGTAACATGTTGCACAGAATCTATTTTTAAAAGCATATGATGAAATGATACTCCTATTGCTCTGCTCACAGCCTTACAGTTTTGCACTGTCAGAACATGAGAGCTTCAGCTCCTGGAAATCCCTGTCATTTTCTGACAAACCCCAGTCTTTAAACACTGAGGTTTTTTATCAAGGAGTGAGTAGTGGAACACTGTATGTCATCTCATTAAGTCAGGCTTAGTTTGAAATGCCAGCAGTGCTTATTTGAATCACATAACACTGCATGGCATACACATTTCCTCACCTCAGGCAGAGAAAAGTGGTATCAGTTCTCAAACTGTGAATGTGAAAATTATTCATTTTCTGTATTAGATGCTTTGGCCAGTTTCCCACCCTACTGTCAGTCCTGAGAACCTAGCAATCTCAACAATCTCCATCCCCTTGTATTCTCCTTCCCAACATGTTAAGGTCAAATTTATTTTGTTGGCTTGGTGGGGCTTTTTGTAAAACAAATGTAGAAATAATATCCCTCTAAAAGTACCATTGCTCTTGTGGTGTATGAAATCGGTACTTATAGTATATTGAAGAAAAGTTGTATGAATCTGTCTTCCTCAAAAAAAAAAAGGGCAAGAATCTGAACTGTTTGCATACAGCTAGATTGTTTTGGAAGGCTCTTTCAACTCCAAGTTCAGTAATCATTCTTAAATGGTCAGTGTGATAGAGTGGGAATGACTGTGAGCCTTGGACTTCTTAGTAACAAGACAGACTCAAGCAATTTAGAAGAATGTTTCTGAACTAAGGAACTGTATATCAACTTTTATGGGATCATAAATTTGCCTACCGATGACAAGAGGTATCTGCAAGTGGAAGGAGGTGGGTGTTGTATCCTTGGATGTTTCTCAGAACAGGTTAGAGCAAGTTTATGTAAATCTGATCTGAGAAGGTTCATTTAGCTCAAGTGTCAGTGAGTGAATAATGGGACAGGGATGGTTCACTGAGCTCTCTCTGAATTTTTTTTCTGAAAAAGCACAGAGCATGTCTTATGCTGCTTGGTGTGTCTGTGCTTGGGGAAGTGCATTGCTCTGGGATATAAGGCCCCCTCAGTGCAGCCTGTGACATACAGGCCCAGAGGGAACTTCTCAAAACACATGTGCAGGACAGAGAATGAGCTGTGGCTATACTCCACTGAACTATTAGACTCAAACTTTGCTGGCTTAAAAGAAAACTTTCCAGGCTAAATGACAGTTTACAAACAATTTCAGTGCTTTTATTTTTTGTTTTTCTCGCTAAAGAAGTCCCTGAAAGTGCTTTCACAGTGTGGCTGCTATGGGAAAGCAGACTGAGGTCACTGTGAGTGTTAACACAATTAACTGCTTAATGCTCTAAAATTAACATAAGACTTTTGTTCACAGCTTAGTCCCAGTAAACTACAGTGATAGAAGATAATAATGCCAGTGGCCAGGCCCTGCCCTGCCCTATAGATCTACCCTGGAGAGCTGCACTTGGATACTCTGCTGGCACGGGGCCCTTACCGGAGCAGACGTGTCACCCGTGCGAGGTCTTCGGCTCACGGCCGCTGTTTGTGAAGTCACTTCAGCGCCTGCAGAGGAGTTGACAGTCCATCCTATGCCTGCGAGGCTCAAGCCATGAATGAGGGAACCCCTTCATGGGAAAGGAAAGCTGAATTAGCTGAAGCAGAAGCACAATCATTCTGTATACTGGTGTCTTTATGCTTTACATCACTTGTGACCATTTCCCGTAACGCAGAGGGTGCAGCTTTATTCTTTGGGATAAAATGTACTTTGTGAAAGGATAACGTGGCTGTGAGAACGGTGTACCTGTCACCCTTCAAATTCACTGCGATGCCGCAATGTTTTTCAACATCCACGGTTCATGCAGCAAGGCCAGCAGTGGTCCCGGCACATCACCAACGTACCGCAAAGGCACTGCCGGCCTCATCGCCACGGCCGAGCAGGAGCTGTCTCTCGAGGCTCCGAGGAGACACCGGAGAGCGAGCACCGGTGTTCTGCAGCGCGGGTGGCACCGGCCGGAGCCCCAGGCGGGAGCGGCGACACGGGCCGGGCGGCTTTCAGCGCGCTCGGGCTGCTCCCCGCCACCGGCGGGCCACGCTCCCTGCCGCGGGCTGACAGCGAGGCCGCAGAGCGTCCCGAACACGCGGGGCACGGGCCGGGTGCCCCCGCCGCGCCGCCCGCACCGTGGGTCGGTTCCCGCACCGCGGAGGCTGCGCCTTACCCAGCCCGGCCCCCTGGCCCTCTCCCGCCCCCCGCGCTGCGGACCCCGGAGAGCCCCACTCCGGGTTCCCCGGCGCTGTGTCCCGCGTCCCCAGTCCCGTATCCCGTGTCCCACATCCCGAATCCCCGCGGGCGCGGCGGTAACGGGCGCGCGCCGCCGCCGCCGGGGGTTAGCGGTCACCTGATCGCCCGCGCGCCCCCGCCGCGCCGTCCTCCCTGCGCGCGGGGCCCGCGCGGCGCGCTTGAACGCGTCACGTGGCCGCGCCAGCCTCCAGCCGCCCAGGCGCGCGCGGCCCGGCAGGGCGGGGCGGGGCGGGGCAGGGCGGCTGCGCACTGCCGCTCCCCGCGCCGCCATCTTTGCTGTGGGCAGCGGCCCGGGTAGGCGCGGCGCGGGCGGGAAGGGTAGGGGCGCTTGGCGGAGCCACCCCGGGAAAGGCTTCTAGCAGCTCTCCTCCCTGCCAAGCGCCAGAGACGCGTTTCCTACTGAGAGTAGCAGGAAACCACTGGTGTTTGGGCCAGGCTGCCCAGCCATTCGTTCCGCCAGTGCTCCGTCAGGGGATGCTCCCCAAGCTGCCGCCCAGTGCAGTCTCCTGGCTAAAGACTCACCCAGCACACCCAGGCTCGACGAGCGGGGTGGGGACGGGAGCAGAGCGGGGTGGGCGCACAGCGGGATGGGGGCACAGGAGCAGAACAGGATGCAGGAGAGGAGCGCGGCTCTTTCCCTGCTCGCTGCCTGCACTCGCCCGTCCCCAGTGAGGCTCGCTGCTCGCTGCTCTGCCTGGTCTGACAACGCAGTGCTCCCTAGAGCACCTTTGGAGAAATAACTCTGTTATGCCAGGTGCTTCTTCAGAAAAACCCTAAAGCAGCAAGGCATAGTTGTTCTCCGACTCATGCTCCTCAGTCATGTGTTTCTAAATACCCAGCGAATGAGCCTGATTCTGCCTTTGGCAATTATTTAAAAAAAAAAAAATCCAGAGTAATGCCATCTGGGTAGGGAACATCACACTCACTCCAGTGTTACTGTGAGCAGAGTTTATTTGTTTTCGTTGTTTATTTCTCTTGAAATGTACATACATTCATCCACTGACACTGTATGAATGTACCTCATTGTAAGAGTATCCACTGCTTTTAATTTCTGCTGCTTTTGACTGTTTTTAGCTGCACTTATCCACACTTTAACTGGAAGTAATCAACTACGCTCTATTATCTTTCCTTCCATCTGTGTTTTTGCCTTAGTTTGGTAAACAGTTTGAAATCTTCTACCAAGCCTACTATTTCTAGGTTTCAAATTGTGTGACTCATTGTGTGAAGAACATGCTGAGAGTGAAGCTGCTTCTGGAACAGGCTTCATCACAGTGAAGTGGAAGGAGAATTTTTGAAGAAAATGAAGTAGCACATGTAAAGCCCAGTCCTGGGGTGACTTCATGATGCTGAATTTTATCCCCATTTGTCTGTTTAGCCCAGAAATATGTTTTGTGCCTTTAAAACTGGTTCAGAGAGCGAAGGGGAGGAGAAGAAGCGTGCAGTTTGTTTGCAGAAACTGCACTTTCTCCCCCGCATTCTTTCTCACGGGCTGTGTTGTCTGCAGCACAGACAGCAGGAGAGAGCTCTCCTTTGCTTCTAGTTAACCTTTTTAAAGCTAGCTGAGGCAGAGAAGTTCCCCGGACAGTGGCTTTTCTTTTTCTTGGAACTGATCAGCCTTGCTTTGGACCAAAACCACAGAAAAGCACCGGGAGCTCAGCCTGTGGCCCACCAGGGCCCAGAAGTGCCTTTTCCAACGCAGGAGGGAGCGAAAAGAGACTGAGCGAGCTGAGCTACACCCCACAAAAAGAATATACACTCTGGGCTCTCTCTGAATTTACCTCTCTTCAGAACAACAAGGAATTCCATTGTTTAATATTAATTTTTTTTATGTTTGTAAGTACTTGGCTTGTTAAATAAACAATTTTTTCCACTTTTCTCCAAGGAAATCTTTCCTGTACTGGTGACCAAGAGGGGCTGCTTGAATCTGTTTTCTAGAGGGATCCCATTCAGAAGTTTCTTCCCAAATTCACCCTAAACCAGGAAATGCCCTTAGAAATTAACAATTTTTAAATCTATGACAAACAATTGCAGTTGCCCTGTTTGACCTAACTTCCCTCACCAACTCTTAACTGAATTAGAACAGACATTCCTAAACCATGTCATGTTAAGAGGTTCTACCAGTGTTTTCCAGGTAGTTCATGGCATCCTATTCATCAGCAGAATGTAAGGATTTGTGTTAGATTTATTTAGCCTCAATCTGCTTTGTAGTTTCCTTGGCTTGCTTGGAAACCTTGAGGCCCATAAGAAATTTTGAGAGTTCTCAGATACTGTCAGTTCGAACAATTAAAAAATTTTACAAATCCTATGATGTTTGTATCACAGATTTCAGAACAACAACAGACTGGACTGCTGTTTGTTGTTTTTTTCTACAACCAAGACTTTGAAGGTGACCATCAGCTGGGATAATGATGGGAGGAGAAAACCACCCTGGACTTTAAAGCAGAGGTCTTAGAAAATTTAAGTTACAATACCACTGAGATTCTCCTATAACTATTTAATCTTCTTAGTTGTGTACATTGAGTACTAGGAAGCAGAGGCTTCTTTTAGTGTACTTTTTTGCAATTTGATATTTCACCTTCCCACCTCATTCTAAACCAAACTGATGTAAGAAAGTGGGATTTTTTAAATTACAGTAATGGAAGAGGACTGGTCTTGTAGTACCGGTAATAGATACCAGAAAAAATATGGCATCTAATAGCTCCCCAATTTTAAGTTAAATTCACAGAAATCTAAATCTAAAGCTCAACGAAACCTCCACAGGGATTCTGTACACAAGCACACAAAATACACCCTTCATTGAGAGTCCAGGCAGAAAGAAACAATAGCACAGGAAATTGTTCTTGGAGAACCCTTCTACTTGTCAGTCACAGGCTGTTGCAAACCAGAAAGGTTAACACACCATCTAATTATTTGATAGGATTCATATTCCTTCACAAATGTGATGAATAATCCAAGTGTGTTGAATCAAGCCAGAGGAAAATTGTTCCTTCCCCAGCCTTTTATTAACTCCTTGTTGTATAATGTACTTGAAATCATAGAATAGTTTGGGTTAGAAGGGACCTTAAAGATCAGCTCCCCACTATTGGGTGGTCAGGGATACCACCCAAAATGGGTTTATTCTGTGACATTATAATGTGTGGGTGAATGATTCTTGTATGTGAGAAATTTTACTTTTACATGTGCTTCTCTTTATATTTGACTTGAAATTAGAGAACAAAAAAGTACCCCTTCCACCTGGTTTTGCCCCCTGCTTAGTGCAGACAGTGTTCCCTACAATGGGTATTATGCTGTTTTTGTATACTCTAGCTTTGAAAGGCTCTGGTGATGGGGCTTAATCTGAAGGAAAGCACGCTTTACTGGGATGTATTTCCTGATATTTAGGCTTTATTTCCCTTTGTTTTCAGTTAATCTTGTCATACATTCACGTGTCCTTGAGACTGCTTAAAATCCTTTCCTGCTGCTAAGCCTAGAATATCAGTACACAGCTTTAAGTTTTGTCCAGTGCTTTTATTTATACTATCCCAAACTGCATTTTAATTGTGGTATATCTTCAGTCCTCTACAGACTCCCATTTTTGCAATTTAGAGAAAGGGTATTTTGAGTAGTCCCATTTTTTTTTTTTTTAAAGTAGCAATGACTGTTCAAACTCAGAGCTCTACAAAAATTTAAACAACGTGCGAAGGCGCCCACGGCTCCCGCATTTCCCGCTGCAGCCGTGGGATATCCCGGTTTTGCAGGCGCGGGATGTCCCGGTTTTGCAGCCGCGGGGTATCCCGGTTTTGCAGGTACGGGATGTCCCGGTTTTGCAGCCGTGGGATATCCCGGTTTTGCAGCCGTGGGGTATCCCGGTTTTGCAGGCGCGGGGTATCCCGGTTTTCAGCCGCGGGGTATCCCGGTTTTCAGCCACGGGGTATCCCGGTTTTGCAGGCGCGGGGTATCCCGGTTTTCAGCCGCGGGGTATCCCGGTTTTTCAGGCGCGGGATATCCCGGTTTTCAGCCGCGGGCTATCCCGGTTTTCCCCCGCGGGGTATCCCGGTTTTGCAGCCGCCGTGTCCCGGCGCTCGGGCAGGCGGCTCTCCGGGGCGGCGGGGCCTGGCGCCCTCTGGCGGGCGCGCCGCGGAACGCCGGGCGTTCCTCCCGAGCGCCGCTCCCGCGCTCCCGAGCGCTCCGCTCGTTCGGCCCGTTACGAACGCGCCTTTTTTGGCACTCCAGGAGGTGTTTCCTTTCCTTGATCCTGGCAAAACTCATGTTGCAATTTCAGAGAGTCTGGCAGGTAGAGTAATCGGCATCTCTAGGTTACAGCTGGGTTTATTAGAGCCTTTACACTTTCTTGGTAACATGGAGTTCTAAGTGAATATTTCCTTGGTTTTTTTGTCACTTTGCCTCCTCTCATGTACATCTTGTCATAGTTACAAAGGTCTTGTAGTCAAATAAGAGACAATTCTGTGGTTGTGTATGACAAATGAATCTGTTTCGTTCCTGTATTGTGATTGGTTAGCTTGCAGGTATGAAGAATATTTTTTTTGTGACAGCGAAATGAGCAATCTGCCTAAAAATAAACAGTGAAGTATGTGAATAATAAGTAAATGAATAATTTGTCATCTTTCTGTCACGGAACTCATTGTGCTTTGCAC